AGGAAAGGAAAGGAAAGGAAAGGAAAGGAAAGGAAAGGAAAGGAAAGGAAAGGAAAGGAAAGGAAAGGAAAGGAAAGGAAAGGAAAGGAAAATCTCCTTACAGTTGGCAACTTTCATACGGTTTTATAGATGCTTTTATATACTAAGCCGTCTAGCAGTTCTTAACCCAGATATGTAAAGGCAGAGAGGCAAGCACTTGGTAAAAAAAAGAGAGCTCCTCCTAAGAGGGATCAATGAAGAGACCATGTCTGTGCAAGGCCCTCTTTCTGAAGATTTCTAAGTGTGTGCCTGACCTCAGAACAGCTGTCATTCAACAGCTGGCTCAGTGGTTTACCCCCCCACCCCCAGCTGGGAAACTGGGCCTAAGTTTATCTCAGGCCTGAGGCACCAGGATCAGAAAGGAGGTGAACTTTAAGGCCATGCACATGTCTGTGCAGAGCTTAGAGATAAATTCTCTACAAAGGTGTCAGAGAGGAGACAGGTCCCATTAGTGTATTTCTACATATAGACATTCTTAAGATGACTGACCTCAGACCCCCAACATCAAGTCAACTGGGTCATGAAATCCTGCAAGGTTAACAACTGGCTCCCAAGGCTGGTATAAAAACTCTCTGCCCAACCCACTGAGAAGTATCCTTACACAGAAAACTAAAATATTAGCCTTTCCATAGGGATTTTTCCAGGAGCTGTAGAGATGGCTCACTGGTTAAGAACACTGGTTGCTCTTCCAAAAGACCCATGTTTGGTTTCCAGAACCTATCTACACAGGGGCTCACAAACATCTGTAACTCCAGTTCCAGGGGGATCAGATGCCCTCTTCTGGCCTCTGTGGGCACGAGGCATGCATGTGCCCATATGTGCATACAGGCAAAATACCTACACACATACAAATAATTTTAATTAATTATTTAATTAAATAATTATTTAATTATTTCTTTAAGAAACCAAATTAATTTCAGAAATCATTAGAGGTAATACAAGACAGTAAATCATCAAGTATGTTATGAGAGTAAAACTCAAAGAGGGCTGCAGAAGCAAGACAGCGTCAGGCTCTCTGTAAGGAAGGACACGGCAAGAGAGGGGCTCAGAGAAGGCAGAAGCACAGTGTTAGCCATGTGAATGAAGTGGATGCTGGTCAGCAGCAGAGGCTAGCTAGACATCATGGTGGAGCAGTGAAGGCTGCAGAGAGTGACAAGAAATTGGAAGGGGAAGTATTTGTGCTTGTGAACCCTAAGGAAGTACCAGAACCAACAGGGTTGAACCCATGGTTTGAGATCAGTGCGAGCTGCCTGCATCCAAATAGCTATTGCAAAGCATGTGTTACAAACCTTGGGTGACTCACTCTTGGAGCCACCTGTTTCTATGGAACAGGGAAGAACAACATTCCCTCCATCCCACTGGGTACCTCTGAGGTTTCCTGGGAAGGCACAGTGAGACCTGAGTGAGGCGGTTTTAAAGTCATTAAGTGTTTTTATGCGTCAAATGCTATCATAGGGCTGTCTGAGGCCATCAGGAATCTGAGTGTTGAAAGTTGTTAAGTCACTGTGGAGTTGGGAGGGCAAGGAAACAGCAGCCTCACCCCTGGAGGGAAAAAACAGTGTTGATGGGAACAAATCCTTTTTATTTATATGCCATAAAGTATAGATACCCAGAGGAGCCATGGGAGACTCTGGAGCAAGGTAATAACACTAAAAGGTGCTACTTAGGACCTTGACTGGGCCTCCTGCCTAACAGACATACCAGTCCCAAGACATCAGGACATAAAACCTGGTTTAAAAAAAATCTAGAAATCAAGGAATCATTTTCAATCATCAAAGGATTCTTTTCTTCTCTCTTCTTCCCCCTTCTCCTCTTCTTCCTTCTTCTCTTCTCCCTCCTCCTCCTCCTCTCCCTCTTCCTCTTCTCTCTCTTCTTCTTCCTCCTCTTCTCCTCTTCTTCCTCCTCTTCTCTCTCCCTCTCTTCCTCTTCCTCTCCCTCCTACTCTTCTCCCTCCTTCTCTTCCTCCTCTTCCTCTCCTTCTTATTTCTCCTCTTCTCTCTCCTTTTCTTCCTTTTCCTCTCCCTCCTCCTCCTCTTCCTCCTCCTCCTCTCCCTCCTCCTCTGCCTCCACCTCTCCCTCCACCTCTTCTTCCTCCTCCTTTTCCTCCTCCTCCTTTCTTCTTTTGTTTTCTTATTGGAGTGCTAAGAGCGGAGCCCAGGGCCTCACACATGCTAGGCAGGCCCCCTAACACTGAGCTACATCATCGGCCCCGAGTATTCTTTTTAAATGAGTTTAATTTAGCTGCATATTTTCCCTCTCTAATCCTAAATCAAAGACCCATGTGCTTCTAACAATTTTATCCTGCTCCTTAAAGTGACTGAGTTCATCCCATGATATCCCGAAGCCAAATTATACATTTTCAGGCACAAAGCTTTCATTTCAAATAACTAGTGGGAAGCTTAATCTAGTGGCACATGTCGTAGTCCTAGGCACTCCAGGGGCTGAGACAGGGGAATGGGTTGAGTTCAGGAGTCCAAAGCCAACCTGAGCAACATAGTAAGACCTACAAATACAGAAGCGACAAGAGAAAGGAAAATCATTAGTAAGCCAGGCATGGCGAGATAGGGAAGATGATTGGGAATTCGAGACCAGCCTGGTTTACATAGCAAGCTTTGAGACTAGCCTGGGATACAACAACAACAACAATAGAAGGAAAATAAAAGTTAGCCCATCTTTGTTTTTTGAAACAGAGTTTCTCTGTGTAGCACTGGCTATCCTGGAACTCACTTTGTAGATGAAGCTGACCTCAAACTCACAGAGATCCGACTGCCTCTGCCTTTCAAATGCTGGCATTAAAGGCATGTGCCGCCATGCTCAGCTAAGCACCACACATAGGGATTGACTACAAACTAGAGCAAATGTTCCCTTAACCTCACTGCTTTTGAGTGTCTGGGTAAAGATGGAAACTGGTTGGTATGTTGTTGTCGGGCCAGGCTGTAGTTCTATACTTTCATCTAAGTTTTTTGTGGGGTTTTTGTTGTCATTGTTTTGTTTGTTTTTTCTCCGTAGCGGTGTGCTGGCTAATTCAGGAGGAAAAATACTTGTCCGGAAAGTTGCCGGGCAGTCCGGTTACAAAGGAAGCTACTCGAATGGGGTTCAGTCTTTATCCTTACCCAGGTGGAGAGAGTCCTTTATCATCTCAGGTATGTCACACCCTGGGGTCACTGCTGGATACAGGCATCCGTGGTGACACCAGGATGAAATGTGATCTTTCGACTGCTCTTACTTTCTTGCTTACAGGCTACTCATTTCAGAAATATATCAAGCGTTAATCTAAAAACTAGAATTATGAAACAGAGTATAATTGCTTGAAGATTACTACCAAGTCAAACCTGGAAATACTAAACACATCAGGTGCTTATATTAACTGCATCACAGCTGTCTGCAAGTCCAATTAAACTTGGATTAAAGTGCATTACATCTAGAAAGTTGGGTTTTTGAAACACTAGTCCTTCAAGTGACTAATGTACCCCACACCTAGAATGTTCTCCCTTGAGCTGTCTAGGAGATGGACAGATGGAAGCAGAGGTTTGGAGGGGTATTGAGCCACATTTCTATTTTAGATGATTTTGAATTCTTCTTCGATTAACTGCCTTACTACTGAGTCAGCTCAGCTTCCTAGCTCCATTGAAGTCTCATAAATAATATAAATAATAATTTTTACTCTCTCTCTCCTCTCACGAAGATGATATGAGTGATCCAATGGCTCCAGTAGTCTAGTTTTACAACGAAAAGGTAACCGGCTCTCTCGGAGCCATCAGGCCCTGCTTCTCCGTTTTTGGTTATTTCTCCAGCCCAGTCTTTTATTTGGAAAATATTTAAACTTACAGAAAATGTAAAAGCTAGTCTAATGAATACCCGTCTTCCTTTCACCCAGACTCCTAACTTGTTAATATTTTGTCCTGATTGCTTTACCTACTCAAGCACCGTTTAAAGAACCCTTATCTGAAAAACTCTACAATAGAGTCTCCAACATGTCATCTGAAAGTACTTCCCCATATGTCTCTACGAGCACGAACATTTTCCTGAGTAACTGTGGTGGTACCGCAGCTGAAAACTAATGTTAATGCAACACTGTCTGATAAAGAGTTCTTAGTCACACCTCCAAAATATTCCTCATAATAGTTTATTCTCTTTTTTGGATCTGTAATACGAGCAAAGGTTCTGCCTAGTGTTTAGTTGTCTCTTCAGTCTCCTTTAACTTTACCACTTGTCATCTTGTCACCAGCGAACGGTAATGACATCTTTGAGGTAATGTCATCTTTGATGTGTAGTGGTATGCCCTACACTATGGACCAAAAACTAGGCCATTTGTTTTTTTTGTCATTGGATTCAATTTCAATATATATTTTAAAGATATATTTGTTTTTATTTTATGTATATGGATGTTTTGCTTGCATGTATGTATGCCTAGGGAGGTCAGAAGAGGGTATCAGAACCCCTGGAACTGGAGTTATAGACAACTGTGAGCCATCATGTGGATACTGGAAACCCACCTCAGGGCCTCTGCAAGAACAGCAATGCTCTTAACCTCTGAGCCATCACTCCAGCCCTTCAACTTCTTAGAAGGAGCAACAAAATACTCAAGGGAGCAAATATGGAGACAAAGCGAGGGACAAAAACTGAAGGAGGGGCCGTCTGAAGACCTTTCCACCTGAGTATCCATCCCATGTGCAGTCACCAAAGGTAGATGCTGATGTGGAAGTCAGGAAGTGCATGCTGATAAGAGCCTGATATGGATGTCTCCTCAGAGGTCTTTAAGAGTCTGACATATTCAGAGGCAGATGCTCACAACTAGCCATTGAAGTGATTATGGGGTTCTCAATGGAGGAGTTAGAGTGAAGACTGAAGGAGCTGAAAGGATTTGTGGCCCCATGAGGAGAGCAACAATACCAACCAACCACAGCTCCCAGGGTCTAAACCACCAGCCTGGGAGCACTTATGGAGGGATCCAGGGCCTTAGCTGAATATATAAGAGTGGAGGGCCCTGCTGGGCACAGGTGGAAGATGAGATCCTTGACCTCATGAAGGCTGGACGCCCCAGGGGGTGGGAGTTTTGAGGGTGGGGAGGTGGGAGTGGGGGGGTAGATAGAGGTTACATCCACAAAGAAGAAGGAGGAGGTGTGAGGGGATTGGGGGTTCCTGGGTGGGTGGGGGATGGGGTAAGGGGACAACATATGAAATGTAAATAAAACATCCAATAAAAAAAAAAAAAAGAAGAAAAGGATAGATTATATGGTCAAATCTCCCTGGTGTCATGGCACAATGGCCTTGTCTAAGGACTATACTGCCAGTTTCTTTAATTGTTGTTGATACCAAATTTGATTTCTTGGCTAGTGCAATATACTTCTCCATGGCCAAGATATGTATATTTAATTACCAAGCAGAGTGGTACTTGAGTAACTTATTACCTAGTTACCCTGGCTCAGCAGTCTTAACACCCATTGCCCATCCTAGCTTCACAAATAAGACACTGTTAGTCTGTAGTTCTCCAGTATCCCCTCAGGGTGCCAAGTCTGCAGTTTGTACATGTGTCTTATGTACAGTGCTACAGCGTCTGCATAACCCCTGCACGTCCTCTCTGAGCGTGGTGTCGTCTCTGGACTCACTCAGTACCTAACACTGTGGATGCTATGTAAGTAGCTATTCCACTCTACCGTTTAGGAAACAATGACAAGAAAATAGTCACAGGCAAGCTCTGTGCTGCTACAGATTGTTTCCAAGTTATTTTAATTGCAGATTAGTTGAATCACAAATTTGGATACTACAGAAACAGGGCAAACTGTAACCACAAAATTATAATTTTCCTAATTATGTCATTCCTTCCACATTAGTGGCTAACATCTCTCCCCCAACACCCCCGCACGATGTTGATTTTAATGTAGACTATGGACTCGTTCAGGATTTTTTTCTTTTAAATATACTATGTTATTATCTACCACAGATGACAAATCATTATGTTCTTTTTTTTGTTTGTTTCATGTCTCCTGAGAGCATTCACTATGTCTCGTTTGATTTGGAGCACAAGATAATGTCCTATACTCACCTTACCCTTCTGTTGTCCAAGACCCTAGTCTCCTATTTTCTCTGACCTCCCAGCAAGATTGAACTTGATGGGATTATCCTAAGGAGGAATCTCCCAACCCCGCCCCTCCCCCCCCCCCCGCCATGTAAAGAGAAAGGTCTCGACATACCCTGGCTCTTCTAAACTGGCCTCCATTAGACATCTTAGGCTCCAAACCCATATTTCCTCCACCCATCAGGATTGACAACAGTGAAAACAGACCTTTTAGGGTTCTTCTCGAATTGGGAAATCTCTGAGCCCGTTACATGACACAAATGAGCTTGGTTTCTTTATCAGATCACAGAAGGCCATCAACCACAGAGTAAGTTGTCACAAAGCTTCATGACAAAGAATTTTCCCAGGCAGAGACCAAAGGCAGTGTCTAGTTGAGAGGAGAGAAATACAGCCTCCACACAGAAGTGTGCGAGCAGCTCCTGCCTAAGGAAGAGCTCTCAATGTCACAGTCCAGCCTGCCATCCAGGCACCACACAGGACTGTAAAGAAAGACTTTATTCCCAGAAATAAGAGGCAATGAGTACTGGGAATTTTTGATGTTGTCATTTGCTCTTCGCTTTTGCAATAAAAGCAGCTTAGTAGATATATTCTCCATGGATCTCAGCTTCCCCCGCCCCTCCTGCTACCTTGTGACATTTAACAGAAAATGAGTGTGGCCAAAGATAATAAGCACTTGTGCTGGCACAGACCTCTTTCAAGCAGATGTTGGGAGGGCACTGTCTCATAAGGTTGTAGCCAAGGACACCCTGGGATTCAGAAGTTCACAGCCAACAAACATAACTAGATTGGGTCAGAACCCTCCTCAGAAGGCTCAGATGCCAGTGTGACCTTTCTCTGGGGTTTTACTTCTTATTTTTATAGGTCACTATGGTGCTTTAATTAGTCTTCTTTGGGGATCTGGGAACTCTCAGGGGGAGATGAGGTGTGTGGTTCTGGTCTGCGTCATCCTGGAACAGTGTAGGCCTGTGAGAGAACACGGAAAGTCCCCTAATACCTTGCCGCTGTCCTCTGATCCACATGTCAGACAGATGAGCTGACGCTTGTTTGCCTTCTGAACAGAAACACAAAGAACTACCTAATTTTCATCATAAGAATAGTAAAGGGGTGGAGGGATACCTCTGCCTCCCTCTCTGTGAACTCAGTGTGGCCCACAGCCAGGAGGCCCCGAATGGGGTCGAAACAGCATCACCCTGGATCTGCTCAGCATAGACCCCCACATGGCTGAAGACTTAGAAATGACCCATTCTGCTCCCAGATGGTTTTAATGCAATGATGTAAGAGGCACCTGTAAGCCAGAGGGTGCCTCCCTTCTGCCTTTGAGTGACACTTACAGGTAATGTCTGAATAAAGTTTTGCGTCTTTGTGGACGTGTGCAGCTCCAAATACGTTTTAATTTCATTTTTCATTACATCTCTGTAACTTTGTAGATGCCATGTCATTATTTGTATTCTCTCAATGAAAAAAAAATAGTCTTGAAGATTATAGCAGCTAATTAAAAGTAAAACTAAGGGCTGGGGTGTACCTCAGTGGTAGCCTACTCACCTAGCATGCACAAAGCCATGGGTTTGCTTCCTGAGACCATGAAAGAAAGAAAGAAAGAAAGAAAGAAAGAAAGAAAGAAAGAAAGAA